ATATATATCACACACACAAAAAAAAAACCCAGTGTGTACTTGCAGATTAAGTGACTAGAACCACATAAGGATAGATTGACTCTCAAGAGCCGAAGGAGAAATACTGATGTCTCCTTGGTGCCTGAGAGCAATTCACTGTTTCCGTCTCTCTTTCCCACGGCAGGACACAGTCATCTGCCCAGGTGCATCCATTTACCTGTCCTGGCCCCGGTGCCTCAGGAAAGGGGACATCCCCGACGAGGCACTTGGCCAGGTGCCCACAGACACAAGAGACTCATTTTCTCTCAACTCCACCAACAATTGTCTTATTCAGTGAAGCACAGATTATAATTCATTTTTTTCTAAAAACCAGATTCTTCTGTCTGAACTCGGAAAGCAGATGATCTTCTTAATGGCTTTTCCAGATGTGTGCCATCCATAATTTCCGTGTTCATTTGGAATAGAATGTCGTTCTCATCTTGTCAGTGATCTTGCTGTTGAATTAGTGAGCATAAGAATTGGGTTGACAGGAAATGCGTGCTATTCCAGTAGCTTATAAAGCGAGTGCTACAGATTTTTGCTCACACCTCCCAAACCCCAAAATAATTTCGTTGTTTTAATCCAAATCAGAGACAAATTTGGAGTCAGGAATGGGAAGTCTCACCATTCATTTAGTGGAAATCCTGGTTTTGAAAATTTGTTAGAAATACTGGGGCATAGATGAGCCTTGATTCTGAGCCAATTTTCATAAAGACACTTACTTTTAGATCACACATCTCAGCAGGTCAAGACCCATTCAGCACACAGCCCCTTTTCAAGGGTGAGCTCACTGAAGAATGGCCCTCACACTAGTTTCAGTCACCAGTGGGTCTTCCCATCAAAGGACAGAGGACTTCAGCTCAGATTTCACTCCGTTCTTCCTAAAAGTTCACTTTCCCACACCCACCCAAATCAGAGCAGCGCAGAGTGGATACAGAAGAACCACACACAGGGCTGTCATGTGCACCCACATTCTCAGGTCATGACACAGCTAGACTACTTTATGCTGAATGTGGGCTCAAGCCACCACGCCCTTCCATCTAATCATTCATTTTGTTTGTAAATCTTGCCGTTCTAGTTCAGACATCCTCCCATGTCCAGTTTATGGAAGAAAGAAAGAAAATGGGCTTTCTGGGTTGGGGCTTTATGTGGCTCCGTTCATCCCCATTCCCCCACCGTAACCACTGGCGTAGAGAATTCCAATCAGAGTATCCATCAGCTGCTCCTCAGGGTCTCAGGAAAGAAATGCTGAGTGCCAGGCCCCGGTGCCTTGCCTGGCAGCACACGGACAGCTTCTGATGGCAAGAGGGTCATAGTTTTGGAAAGGAGCAGAAGAGTAGCGACCAGCAAGGAGAATAAAACGTGGTAACTCCCGACCAGCATGGCTCAGTGGTTGAGCGTTGACATACAAACCAGGAGATCGTGGTTTGATTCCCAGTTGGGGCATATGCCCAGGTTTGCGGGCTCAATCCCCAGTAGGGGGTGTGCAGGAGGCAACTGATCAATGATTCTCATCATTGATGCTTCTCTCTCTCTCCCTCTCCCTTCCTGAAATCAATAAAAGTATATATATTTTTTTAAGTGGAAGCTAGCCCATCAGTTGACTGTTGGCAGGAACCCAGGGACACTGCTGTTTTACTCTTGAAAAGAGCCCTGGCCTCATCCGAAGGTGTAATCATCTTAATGGACAGTAACTAGGTAATGTTGGTTGCCTGGAGCACTTTGTCAACATTATCACAGCAGAGAGGCAAATGGACTAAGCTGTTGGAAATGGGAATTCTTAAACCCTCCCTTTCTGTCAAGCGTCACAATTTCAGTTCATTTGGTAGAAGCACAGTCATCTATCTCAATCTACAAAAGGACGTGTGCCTAAGACAGAATAAGCCCAGCAAGTCTCTTGCCGAGACTAGAATTGAGTCCCTTTTGTCCCCTATCAGGTGGGGACCATGGTGTGAGAATGGGGATTGCAGCCTTGTGGTGAGCCCTGGGCACTGCCAGGGAGCCAGGATGCCGCCTGGCTGACCACACTGGGCAAATCCCGAAGCTGGAATGGAGGCCAGTGGAGCTCAGGATGCCCAGCCCTCGCCCTCTAAGCTCGTCTTGATTAAGATAAAGGCTCCTTGGGGACAGGAATCATGGCCACTAAAAGGATGAAGGGACTGAAACAGCCACCCGGTTAGGACAGGCCCGTGCCACCATCAGCAGCAAGCTGCAGGGAGTAAGAGTCGGACCAGACCCGGCTGCTGTAACCATCACCTTCCGTGTCTCTGAAAAACATCCAAGTCTCAGAAGAGTTCATTGGAAGCCGTGGAGTTCACGCTTGCAGGTGTTTGGAAATCCTAAAGTCCCGCTCAGACCCATTCCCCACCACGCCTGCATGGTGCGTGGGCCTCCTGCTCAGACACCTGCTCAGTCACTTATCTGTTAGGTCCTATGAAAACTAGGCAGAGACCTGAAATGCGCTTTTTTTTTAAGACCTAACTTCCTGATTTCAAAAGAATTAAATGCTCATTGTAAAAAATAAAACCAGGCATTACATAAAATTCTCCATGCTAGGACCCTCACTGGAAAGGATACTGCAGACAGTTTGGGGTATATGCCCACAGATTGTCCATTTTTTTATTAAGACTCTTGGTTGCCAGTGACAGAAAGGACTGAAATAGCTTGAACAAAAGGGGATCTTGCTGGAAGGATATCGGATCTCCACACAGGAGCCGCATCCCGGGGTGAAGGCAGAGAGTCCCTGAGCACAGACAGGTCAGCCCACACCCACCCTGCCTGGCCCCCTTCACCCCCTGCTGCGGGCAGGCTCCCCAAACGGCAGAAAACCAGCACACTGCCTGCCTTTGTGCACGAGGCTGACTGGTTTCACTGGTGTGAAAGTAAGAAAATCCTGGGGAGGGACATCTTACCCAGCTGGGCTTAAGGGCCTCCCCCGGTCACCTGTGGCCACGGTTGTTCCCACAGGAGCCACGTGGATGGAGAAGAGAAGGGGTAGGTCCAAAAAGAAGAGAGAAGGTATGCACTCAGCAGACCAGAACGTGGCATCTTTAAAAATGTGACACTCACCTCATTTTCAGCCTGATGAGGGTCCTGTCACGTGGACTCCCTTGAAACTTGCTTTTTCCCCTTCACATTATGTTTTTACACACCTTTCCACTAGCCCTTTGTCAGCCGCTGCAGCTTTCCTTTGGGTGGCAGTCACCGTGTATTTAAACAGCCTCCTCCTGGTGCACAGCCGTATCCGGTTTTTCACTGATGGGACTCTGCTGCCGCCACCACCCTTGTCCTTCGGCCTGCCCCTCTAGTGCTGTTGCTGTGGGACCAGTTCTAAGAAGCAGAATGTGCTGGCTCAAAAATGATTGACATTACAAATGGCCAATAGCCCTCTGCGCGTGGTCAGTTACTCTGCAGCCAGGGCCTGGGAGGGCCTGTCCCCGACACCCTGCCTAAGACTGGGGCCCATACATTTTTTTTTCAATTGGGCTAATCTATAGGCAAAACAATACCCTTGATATTTTAATTTTTATCAATTATTAGTGATTTGAAAATCGTTTATAATGTTTCATTTCCCTAATGCCAGGGACATTGTTAGCAACAGTATAGCTGTCAGGACACACGGTGTCTAACCTGGTGTGTTCCCAGGGACCGAACCGGGAATAGGGCTTCTGTTTTACAGATGCCTGGTTTCCAACACCATTATAATGGCATCTTTAAAAACGGCTGCAAAAATACAGATTCTGTCTCCTCAGTGTCTCGGTTTCTCCTTTCAACTCCCACTGTTTCTCCTTCCTGGCATCCGGCGGTTTTTGAGGACTTCGGTTATCTGGCAGCAGATTTTCCCACGCCTGTATTTTGTTCTATAATTTTCCCTCATTTAACCTCCACTTCTCTTCCTGGAGAGTCCTGATAACCATTCGAGGGCATTAGAGACCTCAGAAGTTTGGATGGTGTTTAGTGCTTTTAGTCCTTCGTGACCAAGAATTGTCACGAGAGAGGGATAGAGAGACAGAGAGGCAGCCTTCTTCTCGAGGACCAGAGCCACTTAGGAGTGGCTGACGTGGCCAAGCGTCACGTGGGCCAGCCCCTCCCTCCTAATACAGTCTAAGTGTTTAGCAAAACAGAAGGCCAGTCTCATGGCACTTTCCTTCTGAAAACAAGCTGCTCCTCACTGGGGGCCAGTAAAATGAAAAAACTTCAGGAAAAATACATCCCTGGTTTTCAAGGCAAAGGAAACACCCTTCTAGCTTTTTCCCAAGACAAGCTGAGGAAGCTCCAAAAAAATGATTTTTCTTCTTAAAAGCAGGCAAGGGAGTTGTCTTGAGCACAAGGATGAGACATGGTGGAGAAGAGCAGAGAGGATCATTGAAATCAACGGTCTCGAATCCACCTGCACCCATGTCCTGCTTTGGCCAGGCAGGCAGAGGGCGGGTGTCCCGGGCCTGGGCAGTGCAGGCTTCCCCGGCTGCAGGCACCTGGGGGCAGTGCCCGACACAGAGCAAAGCCAGAGTGAGAGGGCTCAAGCAGAGCGTCACGGAAAGGACACCCCACGCGATCTGGCCCAGCTCCTTGCAAAACCAGAGCAAAACACAACACTGTGCAGCTCCCCATCCTGCAGTGGGCTGGGTCTTCATCTGCAGCCCTTTCCACAGTCCCTCTCGGAGATCACACACCGCCTCCCACCCTGCAAAGTGATTTACTCACTCTTGACTGCTGAGATCATCCAGTGTTCCAGGCGGAGAGTTAATGGATGACTTAACCCTTGCCCAGCGCCGGCAGCGAGCCCTCGGGAGACCGCAGCGCCTTTGTCTGCAGGAGGCCAGAGAAAAGGCCAGTGGCTTCCCTCCTACCATCGTCATGATCATATTCCGCAGTGGAACATTAAGGGCACAAAGCAGGATTGTAATTAACCTCGCCTGGTCTGCTCCCCGCTGGTGTCCTGGAAGGGAGAGAGGGGAGCTGGAGGGGTGCGGGGCCGGGGCCCTTATCTTGAAATTCAACTTTCCCCTGGTAGAAGCATTGTAAAGCTCTGAGCTTCTGACGGGGGTAGGATCTGTGCAAGAGCTCTTCTGTTCTTTTCTCCTTTCCTTCCTCTCTGAACTCTAAACCCTTAGCAGAGATGGTAAAACAAAAGTCCTCCCGCCCCGGCTGGGGATCAAGCCCCGGGACCCAGAGGGTTCCAGGCCACCCTAAAGCCTGCCAGCCTCTGGCCACCCTCGCTCCTGTCCACCCTCGCTCCTTGTCCACCCTCGCTCCTTGCGAACCCTCGCTCCTGTGCCCAGATGGGTCTTGGTGGTTTCTCAAATCAGGTCAAGCACTTGCCGCCTTGCTCTCCCTCAGATGGGTTTTCTGGGTAACCTGGCAGGTGTCTGACATCCCTAGTGGGAGTTCCTGGGTCTAGTG